GTGCACCGTTACAGGACATTGACCAAAATATATATAAATACATAATGTAATACACTTTACCTCCATTTTCTTCATTTCATCCCTATGTTTTGGATATTCTACGTGGACTACAATGAGTGTTTGGGAGCAGGCTTCAGCCTTGCTGTCATGCTCACATGAATATATTATGTGGCAAAGCTTTTTCATCCACCTTATTGAGATATTTCCTAATGTTCATGGCTACATTTACTGACTTAAAAAACTAAATTTGTTTCTGTTCTATGTTTTACACTCCCCTGGAAAGTGAATGACAGCTTTTGAGATGTTTTTATGTGAACATTTCAGTTTTAATCCTTACAGAATCTTTTCTTTCTAAAAATCAAAAATACGTGGGTTTTGTTCCCATCAGTTGAATAAATTGATTCAACATGGGTCAGTATTTGAATATAACCAACACATTGCCACATATACATATATACAAAACGTATACAAATGATAGTTTTCTGTGATGATCTAGAACAGTTAAAAAAATAATAATTTTGAAGTTGAAACTTTGGTCTTTGATCTTTCTTATGCTTTGTGACCTGATTGTCTCCCTCATGCCTGTGCATTTAGCATTTCGGTAAACTTCAAGGGGCTACACACCTTCAGGAGTATCTGCTTTGATGATTTGCTTTAAATCCAGTGCAGTTTAAAGGCTTAATTTGCATTATTTAATTATTTGGATTTTAGAGGATAGCAGGTATTCATGGTTGGGAAGCACAGAGTAGGAATGAGAGATATTTAGAAGAACTTTCAAAAGTTGCTTTATATTTATAACACTGAATATTGTGGCTTTTTCAGATGGACGGTTGATTTAGTGGTCCGTTTAAACTATTTATTTTTGTACATAATATGGGAAATAGTGCTTCTCTTTTCTATAGTTTTTAATTAAGAAATGCACAAATTTTGCTCAGTGTCGGATATGAATGTTGGACAGTGTATGTTAATTTTGCTAAATTACAGTTAAAAAAACACAACTGTATAGACAAGTGCAGTATTTTTGTCAGTTCTTGGTACAAAAATACTCGGTGGATGTTTGTTGTGGCTTAGAAAGCACAAATATAAGTTCAAACAGAAAAAAATGTATCACATTTTGATAATATAAATTGTAATAGTGAATGACAATACAAGAAGATGAGTATTCTGTAGTCATGCAGATTAGGTAATCAAATAGATTTTGAAACACACAAAGGTCCAACTTAGCTTGAGAATTAGCTAGCTGCTGTCACAGCATTTGAGAACTGAGTTACAAATCTCTGAAAGCTGCAGAAATGTTACAGAAATTTCAATAAGAAAGCAGTAACAGATACCACTGATTAGTTTATGCTGTTTTGAACCTAAGAGAAGCAGTTATTTTATTAAAGGAAAGCTCTGCATTTTTGAGAGCAATATACAAGCATCTTATTCACGTTATAAGTAGATTTTTATGTGAGTCAATTTCTGTTTAGTTAAGGATAGTAAAAACAATTTTTTAATTTTTCATTTGGGTTTATATCCTCCATCTTTTGGCTGCTGGTGTTAAACTCATTTTCTCAAAGAGAACCTGAATAAAGCTAAACTATGTATGACCAACTTATTTATTGAATTTTTAGCCTACACATTTGTAGGCTAAATAGTTTAAGAAAAAACACACACATCATATTGAAGACTGTGATGTATTGGAAGCATTTTAATCAGATGTAATTTGTGTTCACAGTATGAACTCAGAGCCTTTCAGTTACCATTGTCTAAATGGTACCTTTAAAACTTTATTCACATTGGGTAGCTGAATAAAAGATTTCACATTGCAAAAAGCAATTTTACCATCATTAGCTAAAATAAAAGGGCCCTAGGAAGAAAGGATTATCATATATTAAATAAAAAGTTCACCACCTTATAGCTCTAATCCTGTTAGAAAAGATGATTTCTAGCTAACTTAATCAGCCAGAGGTCTTTATTGCCTGGAGTATTAATTGATTTAGGTCTTCATTAAGGTCAGAGGTACACATGGATGACCAGAGGCAGCCTATTAGCACATTGTCAGTTATGCTTATTTACATTGACTGAGCATAATTGTAGGCTATTTCACTGTTAGGTCAAAGGGTCACTGAATCTTTTGTGTACCCTGACCTGTTAAAGGGCAGCAGTCACTCAGACACCATACTGCCTTCAGAATAAAGGTTTGGTTAATTGCATATTGACTTCACCCTTTCAAAGAAAAGTGTATTGGTTCATATAGTGCAAATATTAACATTGGCATAAAAACCTATAGGTGAATGGTCAAAATGTTTCTATTAAAAATTCTCTGCGCTTTTATATTTATGCTAGTCAATCACTAGCAAGTTTTAATAATACCAGTAGGAAAAGTTTTATAAAGTTTCTGTAGTTGCTGTTGGCCTTTGTTAACAAAAACAAGCAAAACAAGAACCAACTCAGTGCAAATCTAGAGGTATCCTGCAATTACAAGTTTATGGGAGCTTCCAGTGTATGATTACGCATCCGCTATATTGTAGTTTTGTTTTGGTGCTGAATTTACTGAATATGGAAGTCCTCTAGAGTTGATACACTGTGAATCTATAGTCTGAAAAAATCTTGTGTTATCTTTGAAGATGCTCCAAAAGGATAAACTGTTGCAGCATTCTAGCAGCATTTTGCTGAACACTTTCACAACACAAGGACTGGCACCATACATTGTGACATCTCTTGTTGTTCAGCACTGTGAAAAAAATATTATAAAGTCTTCCCTGTTTTAAATGCTTTTTACTCTGCTAACAATTTTCCGTATAATGCTTCAAACACTCTGGAGACAACCTCTTGAAATCTGCTAAAACAGTGTTTTTACTGGTTTGCTACTTTGCCCCTGCTGATTGTTTATTTATATTTGCTTTTCATGACCAAGTCACTGGGAATGAGGAGAACATCCCTCCCCCCCTCCTTACTCTCAATTATGTCCCCCTGAAGTACAGTTGCTCAAAACCTGTGGCCTCTTTTGACCCTTTTCCCCTTCTTCCCCCTTGAATCCACCCTTTCATAGCATAGTAGCATGTTGAGAACTCTGTTTTTCTATTAATTACAGCTTAGGATACAAACAAGTATGTTAGGAACAGAGGGGTTTTTTTAAAATTATTTTTTAACGAATTCTGCAAAATTCCCACTGAACCTGAGCCAAAAGCAGTGCCAATTTTGCTCAAATCCTTCAGAGATATTTTTTGACCTTGCTTATGATCAATGTAGCTAATTGTATCAGAACTATCCAAGATACTTTAAGAAAGTGCTATCTTAGTCCGTATTTCAAAACACTGACAGATATTTTATCATTAATTAGTATTCATATTATGTCTCAAACAATCTGTTCAAGAAAGAGGAAGTGAACTGGGTGAACAGCTCTTCTGTCTACCTAATAATTAAAATGGGTAATGCATGGAAAACCAGGAGCCCAGCAGAAAGAGGAAGAAATATTGCCAGTGTGATTTTTTTCTGTAAACTATTAACTACCTGTATCAGAGTTTTTGACTAGTACATGGATTTCACTTAGCAGAGGTAGAAATAAATGGCTTAATTTTAAAACAAACCTGTGTCTCTCTGAGTCATATCTTCTTGAATTTTTTTCTCATCTTGTCAGTATGCCACTTGATAGCTGGCTGGACTCCCTCGTTCAATGGCACATATTTTAAAATAGCACTAGAAAAAAAAAAAAAAAAAAAAAAAAAGACCATTTGTTCCTATAAAGTAAAATATTACTTGCATATTTTTTTCAAAATTCAGGATTATATATAGCATTATCAAAACAATATTTCAGATATTTTAAACAATTTAAATTGTTGATGAGTGTCAGTTGATATGTTTCCTCTCTGCCTCCTCCCCCTCTTCAGCTGCTAATCATAGAACTTGTATGCCAAATTGTATAAGATACTCTTCCAATAGTTACATGTGTGAGTCTTTTGTGAGGCACAGACAGTTATGAGGACAGATTTGGAGTTGCATATGGGTCTGTCACATGGTTTGATTGCCATGTCTTCTAGGACACAGATTTCTTTTTAAATTTTTCTTAATTGTAAAGAATTTTTACAGTTTTTACAGTAAGTTCTGGAAAAAAATTTCTGAAGATATCTTGCTCAGTCCATTTCCCCTCTCTACAGCAAATTGCTTCCTATGCACTCTTCAAAGGTGATTACGCCCACCTTACTTCCCACTTCTGTGCTTAGTTTTCTTCTGATTCGGAACAATATTCATTGCTTCTCTGATCAGGGAATGTATAGACCTTGTAGAGAAGTACAGAATAAGAGGATGAAAAGTTCTGATATTTACATTAAGGTTTTATAATAAATCTCTGAGATGTCTGAATCGTAAGAATAAAAATTTCCTTTTCTGCCTCCTTTCAAGAAAACAGGTGTTCAGTGTTGCTGGGAAAATATAGGAAAATCAGCCCAAGGTAACTGCATTGCAGTTCGGTTTAACATATATTTGTGGCATATCTGACCGCCCATTTAATTCAATTTTCAAAAGACAAACCCTTCTCTAATTAAGTAGCACTCTTTTGTATCTTATTTTCAATCTGCAATTTGCTTTTGCTTTCAAGAGGTGTATGATGATTTTTGTAATACTCTGAAAGACAGTGTGCAATTCTCACTCTGAAAATGTACAGTGAAACAAATGAATATTGAAAAGAAATGGAAGCTTACTTAAAAGAAAGCAAGAATGTATTTAATCATATTGGGGCATCAACACAAACTAACAGTTACGTCGGATATTACTTTGAGGTGATGCATACATCCATATATTAACTGTTGGTTTAAAGTTTATTATGGTGCTGTATTCATGTGAAGTATATAAAGCCCTATCAAAACTGACCTTTAGAATGACGTTTGCTACATTTTTAGTGACTGATAAAGGATCGCAAAGAACAGTAATGCTGAAAGAAATTACTTGGAAAATTGATTTTTTTTTCCCTTTGTTTCCTATGTAATCCTATAATTTTATTTATTTATTTATTCCTCCAGGTTGGAGATATTCTCTACTGTGCTGGACAGATTGGCCTAGTACCATGTACTATGCAGCTTGTTAGTGGTGGTGTGTGGACTGAGGCCACAGTTGCTCTCAGTCATGTTGAGAAAGTCCTCCAGGCTATGAGCCAGAAGACTACGCTACTCCATGTGATCACAGCGATCTGCTATGTAACCGACAGCAAACACATTCCTGTTGCTCATTCTATATGGAAGAAGAAATTAAGAGATTGTAAAAAGGTAGCTGTGATATCCACTTCCCTCATTCTAAGTTGTCTTTTTCCTCCCTCTGTCTTGTAGTAATATCAGAATTTTCTCAGTACATTTCAGAGTGGTTCAAGTAAAGCTAATATAATAAGGTCTGATTGAGCTGTTATGTTCTGGCTCATAAGTGGTTGTGCACAATTGAGAAAGAAAATTGCTTAATAGAAAGTTATATTCATCACTAACTTTGTCTTAATTCCCAAAGCAATATAGAAAAAAACTCTTAAAAAGCAGTCAGTTCCTCTAGTAAAAATGTGAACAATACCTTATTTGAATTACCTCTGCCCATATATTTTTGTAGAGTAGGAACAGGGCACTTTAACTTTTTGTTAGTTGTTCTGTTGAGATTTTTTCTCCCGTTCTTTCTTACAAGCAATATTGTCGTGACAACTGAGTTTAGCATTTCGCTGCTTATTATTATTTATTATTCAGCTGGACTTTTATAACAGGATGGGGTGTTCCAGTTTACTGGTTGACTCTAGATTATCTCTAACAGTACAATAATTTCCCCAGTGATTTATAATATCATAATCATTTCCGTTATGCACGTACCATTTTGCTTAAATAGCCACAGAACACTCTGCAAGCATTAAAAAGGTAATGACCGCAAATCTTATAAACAAAATGTAGCTACTCTATAAATGAGTAAACAAGAGTAGTTACTACATAATTGCTATGGAACTTAATAGAATTTTTTTGTTATAGTTTCTTGGGAGATATGTGGCCTGGAAGCATAGCATGCATTAATAGCTAATATTGCCCTGTTAGAAGGGACAATGCTTCCCAAACCTTTTCTTTTTGTTTGAATTCATGCTCAGTCTGTCTGTGCTATGCACTTGTTTTTCTGAGGCAATAGGTAGACTTGCATGAAAGCTGACACAGTTAACATAGATTTTGTAATAAGATATCCTCCTAAGTACCTTCCTCCAAGACTAAGGGTATTGAATTTGAAAGATTCCCAGTTATCTCTGTAGCACTCTTACAGGTCTGCTAAGATCTGATTTTTCATTTCTGTTTTTACTGTAAAATGTACTGTTTGTTTTACACCTTGCAATTTCTACTCTAGGGCATGCTGTCAGGTGTTTTTTATGTTCTAGTATTTTTCGTGAATGCCTTGAATTTTACAGTATATTTGAAACAGGTCAGTTATTAAAGTTCTTATTTACTTAAAATTCTCAGAAGTAGCTAACTTGCGGAGTGTAGAAATAACCTCATCTTTATGACTGCTGCTGAAAAATGGTAATAACTTTTTACGGTTTTGTTTGGAATCACTTAAGGAACTCAGAAAGATACGTTCCTCTAAATAAGACCATCACACAGAGAGCTATTTTATTCTTTTGTAATTCAGTCATGTCTTAGGTTTTTTTTTCTGTAAAGAACATTGTTCCAAAGTTTGTGTCTTACTGAAGATCTCAGCCTTTGTTTTTACTAATTATGTTTATACTCAGTTCTCAGACTTGCCATGGAGATATTAGCATAGTTCTTAAGATGATGTTGAGTCTGCCAACTTTATGGGTTTTATGGATCAATGCTGCAAGCATTAAATGGAAACAGCAAGTGTGACATCAGTGCATTTTCAATATTATCTTAACAGTATACTATCTTTAGCTGTCATTTTTTATAAGATTTACCATTTCATGATGTCTTTGAGGCTGCAATTAGAGATGTTGCATGGAGTCATAGCATCATTAAGCTATTTTAGGGTAGAGACAATATTGTCAGAGTTGATCCTGTAAAGCTTGGTCATTTTGAAAAGCTGAAACTGTTTTTTGTTCTGTGACTAATAAGTAACATGTACCATGACCATGAAGCCCACATACTTCCTTATTTGTAATATATATAGGCACAGATTTGAGGGCAGATTGGTAATGTTTTGCTGTTCTTTGAAAATTTTCCTTGTTCCATGTAGAATCTTATAAATACTCTGTAATTATTGTACATTCCAGCTGCTCTTTATATAGTCTTCTAGGTCTTACACTTAGTGATATAACTAGACAGTTTCTTCTTAGCTACTTGAGAAACACCTCATGAGATTGCTTGCTTTTGGGTTATTAATAGTATCTGACTCTTGGCAATTTCTGATTGCTCAAGTCATAGCTTAAAGAATGGATTGCTGCCTACACATACTCCTGTGAAGAGTTAGCTGCCTAGCTGGCTTTGGGAATGTTTAAAAGAAAACATCCTAGAGGATTTATGTATAAAGCATTGCTGTAGGGTGCTTATGAATCTTGCTCTGTGCTAATTAGGTTTTATTCATTAATGACAGTATCAGAAATAGTACAAAAATATTAGGAGGTGAGTAATATGTACCACAGCAGGATCTAACAATTGGAAAAATTAAAAATATCAGTGGGAACAAGATGGATTATCAGCTGAATATTCCAATTTCCCTATCATTTTATCAATGGATATGGTTGCATTTTTTTCATGCTATGCATACTTTTATGATTAGGAATTGGTTATGTAAACAGCAAAGCGTAGATAAAGATGTTTCAAACACTTCTATCGCAAAGATCCAGCGTGAACTATCATTTCCTGAAAATATAACTGATCATGCAATTGTTAATTTAATTTAAATAGATATTTATCAATGAGCTTTTGTTTTGCAGAAGTACTAGCTGGCATATTATTAGGAGAAATGTTCTTTTTGGCTGATTCTACCCTGGGAACAGGGGAAAACAGTAGAGCTTACTGTTGAAATATATTACACTTCTCCTTGCCTGCATAGAATCAATAAAAACAGGAAATGTACTTTTCATGCTTCTTAATGTTTTATTTGAAGGAGCCTGTAAGATACTCACTTTCCGGAAGCCAAAACACAGTAGCTTTATTCTGAAAGCATCTATGTTTAAAAATATCAGTAGCACATCCCTTGTTTATCTTAGTTTTTTGTTTGTTTGTTTTATGCCAGTAGTACTACAGAGAGTTCTAGGACATACAGTGGCCTCAATCATAGAATCATAGAAATGAAATAATAGTCTGTTCTCTGCAAGTAAATTAAGTCAAACAAACATAAAAGTATTTTGTTATTTTTGAACTTTATTCAAAGCAGTGGTCAAAGGCATGAATCAATAACAACCTGCAGATTGCTTAATAGGAACAAATGATGTCTCAATTGAAATTGCTCTTCTGCCAGCCATGGAAAAAAGATTTTATTAGGGAAAGCAACACAATGAATATCATAACTCAATTCTCGTAAACTAGACATTATAAACCAGTTTTAATTGTATTTTAGTAGAGATATTAGACTTTGCATTTCTGCTTGCTAAATATTCTGTGTTTAATAGTGAAATTATCATGTCTTATGATTGAATTAATTGTATTTAACAAAGTGACTAGAGCATAGACATCACAACTGTCAAAGGTTTCTTTTGGAGCATCAAAAATGATTATTATTCTGTGACATAGTGATGTCTGGTAAATATCCTCTACATAAATAATACCAGTCCACAATTTCAGTTGAGTTATTATATATATATATATGCATATAATACATTATATATTATATTATATATATAATCTATTATAAAGATATATATTATATATCTTATATACTATATATATATTTATATAATATATATATAATGTTATATGTTATATATATTTATATAATATATTATATTATATTTATATAATATAGAAATTGTATACATTGTTTATGACCTAACAGAAAGTAACATAGAAATGTGAGAATTGTTCTCTGTGTATGTTTATATAACACACAAGTTTTAAGAGCAGGATGTGGGCGTGAAGCTGACCATTACAATAACCTAGGAACTTCTTCATCTATGAAAAGAAAAATAATTTCAGAATGTTTCATAATAACCATATCTTTTCATATATAACCAGATGAGTGGGTCTAGTCAGTGTTAAGGATGGGAAGAGGGAGACAACAGCAACAGTAACTAGGCTGGACTTTCTAGTAACTATTTACTTGCTTTCTTCAATCAGTCTCTGACTATGTACTTCCACGTAATTCCTTGCTATTTGCACAGCTCCTATCCATTGCTGCCATCCCGCTTTCCCTCACACCAGGAGGGAACTCAGTGTCTTTTGTCCAGTCACTGTTCCCTGCAGCCTGACTGCTCCAGTATTGCCTCAAATATTGCCTCTCTAAGCCCAGCCATTAAGGATGATATCCACAGAGCTGGAATACAGACCCTGCCTCTCCTTCTGTCTTCTTCCTACATCAGTTGGAGTTGAAGTGTTGTTGGAATAACTATTCAGGGGCAGAGAAATAAGAAGTCTAGTGGAGGGATGGAAGGTTGTAGTAAGAATCCACCGTTGAGAAAGAAAAAATGAGCAGCAAGGGAAGAATAAGAAAGCAACCCCAGTAAGGACTTACACCAAAGCAACATTAAATCACTGGGCTGGCAAAAAATCTTAGGCTCAGCATTTTAAGTATACACAAGAGAGGATTCCCTTGTTAAAACTAACAGGGCATTGTAGAAACTGAAACTAGATAAGGGAGCCTAGGTAAGAATTTAAATTCTGTGGATGGCTTTGTGGCTTAACCCAGCAAATGGCTAAGCACCACACAATCCTCCTCTGCCTCTTCCCCCTTCCCAATGGGATGGAGGAGGGAGAGAATTGAGAAAAAAAACCCACAAAGTAGAACTCATGGATTGAGATAAAATTACTTACTAAAACAGAGAAAAGGAGAATAGATTATATAAATATAAATATATGTGAATATATATAACATCTGATGCACAAATAATTGGTCACCATCTCCCCCAAACAATGCTCAGTCAGCCCTGAGCAGTGAAGAAGATCCAGATGAACTCCCATCCCCTAAAAAACTCCTTCCCTGTGATGTCATATGGTATAGAGTATCCCTTTGGCCACTTTAAGTCAGCAGTCCTAATTCTGTCTCAACTCCTCAGGCCCTTCACTGAGAATAGCTTTGGCCCTGTACAACACTGCTCAGCAGCAAGTATGAACATTGGCTTGTTATCAATACTGTATTTCTTCTA